AAGATATGAAGTTCAAGCAGCTGATCCTTGGGACAGTGAAAATGATCTGGCATCACCTGCATTAAGAAAACAGCTCTGTGTCTCTGTGCACTGAGTCTGCACAGACATTAACCATGCTTTCTTCCTTTCTATGTACTGAACCCCTCAGTATTGATGCAACATTAAAACACAAACAGGTCATAGAAAACCTTGTTTTCCTCCTCCACTGTTAGTGGTTTTGACTACAATATTTGTGCCACTTTACAATATTATTATCAACAACAATTTCACTACTCTTTCTCATTCAGATTTAACTACAAATCTAGTCTCACTCTACAATTTTGATTTAACTACCTTCCTAGCTTTCATTTTACGTGAAATATATTTCCTTCCATTCTTGATTTTCACAAATAGTTCTATTAGTTACTTGATCCAGAATTATCATGAGGATCAGAAATAAACTATTTGCAGAAGCAGGCTTGAAATATGATGACTTGTGATCCCCATCTTCCATGGGTCATGGAATTGATAGACTGTACCAAAAAGAAGGGGAAAGCTTCTACTGAAACACATCGCAAGTGATGATCTAGATTAGCAAGAGATAACTCTCTTCCTCAGAGGCAAGACTGATGTGTTGCGAGACTGAGTAAGAATCTATTTTGTCAGATTACAGAGGTATAAAGTGACAGCTACAAAAAGATTATTATATTATTCTAGAAGGAATGCACCAAGTGCTTCTTCTAAGTAAATACAAGAAAATTACTGTAATAGGTAATAGAACAGTAAAACCAATCTAATTTCCCCCCAAACTGCAACAAATTCAAGCAATAACCTCGTAGTACACAGGATAAGCTCACAGAAGAAACTGCTCTGCTCCTGTAAGCATAGAGTTCTGCTTTCACTCAAGTTGACTGCTAATTGGGTACTGTTGCACCTATGCAACATCTTCTGTATATGCTATACCTTGTTGTCAAGCAACTCTAAGTAACCCGTAAAAAGAATATACATGAAATCTTTTGGAAATATGCATGTAACTCCCCATTACAGTGCTCTGACCTGGAATTCTATTCAAAACCTGCTCTGAGACAGCTACTCCTTTTCATATCTAAGAGACCAAAGAGATGCTTCATGTGAAAATCTTCACAGTCAAACCAGAACTTACAAGTCTCACAGGCCTCTCAGTGCATTAATGAAGTTATACTAATTATTAGCTTGCCTTGAAGTCAAATGTAAGTGCACTGAGTGTGATTAACAACAGTATTTTTAACAATGTGGTGGTATTGTCAGACACAAATGGCCATTTTACGTCAACATGTAAGCAACATGAACACCTTGAAGAGGTGAACAAAGACCTGCAGGCTTAGCTACCTACCAGGGTTAAATCAGAGCATTAGTATTTGTAGATATCTATGATAACACTGCTTTCCTTATAACTTGTCTTCCACGTAACTTGCAACTAAGTCTCATGAGAAGAAATACATATATTAGATAAAACTGTAGTCTTTTTAGAGTTCATGCATTTCAAACAGCGTATATTTGAATCACAGACAACTGGAAAGTTCTAAAGTTGCAGCACCACGAACCAGTTACAAATAAATAAGTTAATTTCCACTGAGGTGCATTTTCAGAAAATGAAAGCAAACAAAAAGTACCTGGATGCTGATTTGTGTGGTAATTAGAAGCTCTCTCTTTCAGTAAAAGAAGTCAAATCCCATATTAGGAAACTTCCAAATAATACTGAACCAAAACACAGTAATACCTTTTTTTACAACATTTTGCTTTGTTTTTTTTTCTATTTGAAAAAGATTTGTAGAAAGAGACAGGGGATTAGAGTTAATATGGAAGTCTGTCATGTAGTTAAAAGTCTTTATTATTATCTACTTTGCAAGTGAAACTGAACACAACTATTGTATGCAACCTTTTCTGATACTTTGAGAGAGGCAGTAAGGTAAGTGTAACAAAGTGGGGAAATACTGTAGAACACATGAATATTACCTTCCCAACGAGATACAGAGTTGCTGAAAATGTGTGAAAAACCTATGTTCAGCTGAGCCTGTAGTGAGTTTATTCTTTCTTATAAATATAGCAAAAAAAATCTCTTCATCTTCTGACAAAATAGTTCTGGCTTCACACAGACGATAAGCACATTTTATATTTCACTTTATAAAAAAAGTTTATCTAACTGAAGAACTCTCCATTGCACAGCTTCTCAATTTGCTGTTACTGTCTCTAAAATATAGAGCAGCACGTTCTCCTCTGTTGCTGCACACATGCTAAAACATCAGCCTTTGTGCTTCTACAAAGTGACTTCCACATCTCATCTCCCACTCCTCTGCCATCCTTCAAGGATGCTGCCCTGCCCATCATCTTATCTGGTCCTTCCCAAAATTCCCCACAACACTGTTGTATCAGCCATGCTAGACTCATCCTGTCCAGAAGGCGTAACAGTTTTGTGTGCTGCAGTTTCCCCACTTTTCTATCTGCTGGTTATAAAAGGAAGGAAAAGGTCAACACATATCAGAAGCCAGAAGACATTAGTATCTTCAGAGTATACCCTAAAAAAATAGCACAGGATAATGCCCAAGAGCAGCACCTGGGGAGAAAAGACAAGCAATACAATTCTCGTGTGCCTATCATCATTCCTCTTAGTTTCAGTATTACCCAGGAAAGAATTCTCAGGCATCACCACTCTTCCCATCCTTTTTCATCTCCCTATCCTTCCCCAGTGATGGACAGGCCTTTATACATGCTACGTTCCCTGCCTGCTCACCAGAATTTAGAACTTCTCTCTCCCTCTCCTTGTATTATCACTTTTGGTATTAACATTGTAAAAACTACCAATGGTATAACAACTGGACATTACGATTCCAAGCAGTGTTTAGCCATCATAGACTGCTTCTTGGTTTTACAAATACTTTCCAAAGCATGCGAAATTGCTGGCTTATTTAAAGGCAGTAGATCCATAACTCAAAAAGTAGCTGACCAACAGGCATGCAAGAGAAGGATGTGATTAATTCATTTAGAAGAACTGTCTGTAGGGCTGTGACTTTACATGTTATTTTTGTTGCAGCACACCTAGCACAAGGACTCAGAAGTTCCAGTCATACCAGAGGGTGTTCATCCCATCACCTTTCCTTCCCTTACACGGCAAAAGCAGTTTTTCAAAGACACTTGAATAAACATTCAACTGTGTTTCTTATTTCTTTCTTTTCCCCTAATTCAAATATCAATTTTATTTTTTAAAGTTATTTGACCATCTCTTGGTGAAAGCTGGTGCTCTGGCACATCATCTCATCTCACATGAGATCCTCAGACAAGGCCTTACACCCCACACCACTTCTGGTACAGAGCTGTAGCTTGCATTTTACATGTGCTCCCACTGGTGCAATACAAATATGCTATCATTCTGCTGATCTGTTACATTCTGCTTCTGAACACACAGTCCAAAAATAAACCCACTGCTATCGCGGTGAGCTGAAAACTGTTGCTCACTGAATCCCAGGGACTCCATATTTTGCTGGGGTTTTTTGATTTTTCCCTAGAATAACAGCACATTTCTCTCATGTATTAACTAACATATCTCTTTCAGACCATGTATCATTTTGCCACATTTTGCCTGTAGCCCTACCTTTTTTATTATTTTCCACCCCTACTGTTATTTAATATGCTGTTTTTCATTCCCATATTCTCAATTAAATAAGGAAGACTGCCTCCTACTGGGAGCTTCTGGTTAGTTACCTAACAAAAACAAAAATCAAACCACCACAACACACACTGCCTGCACTAAGTACACCCTAGAAATTAAAGCATTAAAGATCTTACTAAAAGCCCTCAAAATTTATAGTAAACTCTTGAAAAGTTTTAATTGCTCGACTACCCTGCAAGCAGAAAGATGGATGTGGGGATTTATTTTTTTTTTTTAGAGCTAACCAGAACTGCCCCATGGGATGCAGTTTACTGGAAGAGACTTTTATGTCTTTGTCACTAGTTAGAATCCACAATGTCACAACTATTTCAGGTTGTAAGCAATTTAAAAGAGGTAACATAAGGCAGTGCCTTATTTTTATTAAATTGATAGTAAGTACTGATATCAGTGAATAGTAGCTGTCAAGTCAATCAAGCAATATATTGTCCTGTAGTCTATATTCTTCCAGTCAGTAACAAGGGTGTCAAATTGGTAGCTGAGCAGCCAAACCACCCAATAGTTCCCAATTTCAAACCAAGGAAGCGAAGATTTCAGCTTCCCACGTAATAACCCAGCATTTTCAGGGTAAGTTCCTTTCTTGTTCTAAACTCTCTACTTGTGTAAACTCAAAAGAAAGTAATCTTTATTTAGCAATCACACACTCTTACATACCTCAGGTTCACACATTACTCTTTTGTTCCCTAATTGCAGTTCTCCTGTTATTTGCTAGGAAGGGTAAAAGAAGCAAGAATATGAAAGACCTGCTCTTGCAAGGCCATTGGCGCTGCTATCCTTGTATTCATGTGTATCTTGGACTTCCTCCAGACCAGATATTTTGCCTACCCAAACATTACAAAGCTGTTTAGACACATGGACTCTATTTCATTCTGGAATGGCTCATCAGTACACAGATGAGCATCACATCTCATATGCTTCTGCGCTAAGTTCTACTGCTCAAATCCTGAAGTCATGGAAGAAGGAAACACAAACAATGCAAAATGTTGCCACACTTGCCACTGCCATGTTGTGGCAATAAGAACACATTTTTAATGGTCTAAGATGACTGTTAGCCCAAGCTCACAAACACTCTGAATGCTGGTGGAGAGTTCATGCATGTTTCAGGGTACTGTTACACAGACAGAGACACTTTCCCACTAATGAAGATATGACGCCCTAGAATGGATTCAAGGGTATAGATTAACACTTTGAGACATGCACCTGCAGCGTACCACTAATGCGGTAGACAGCTTTGTGTTTCTAGTGGTTCATGAGACTTGCAACATTTCTGGGAAGGCAGTAATGCAGAAAGTAACATACAAGAATGGAAGAAACCTACCTTAAGTAATTCATAATGTTGAATACCATTCACACCGATATCAGGGTCGATGGCAGATGGGACAGAATAGCGAGAATTAATTGCTGTGTTTTCAGGGATAGAGATGTTAATAACTGTTGAGGGAAAGAGAGGGGCATTGTCATTTATATCCTCTATTAGGAATCTGATCTTAACCAGTCTGAAGACTTCATCAGGCAAAACAGCAACCTCCACCTCGTAAAAACAGCGATTCTCACTAAAGATGCCAGAGCACAGCTTCTCTCGGTCTATGCGGTTTGCAGCTGTGAAAATCTCACCGGTGTTCTCCTCCACCCGTACCAATGGCACATCCCCAGTCTTATACACAAGCTTGAACTGCAGGGGTGAAGACAGGGGCACATCTGGGTCCAGCGTTAGGTTAAGATCCTTGAGCAAATTGCCAATGAGGACATTTTCAGGCAGTTCTTCCCGCACGGTATAATTCTTCTCCTGTGCGCCAGATTGCAATACAATACAGGCTAATAAGACGGCCAAGAGGTAGGTTCCAGACAGCAAGTCCATCTCCAGAATGACTAATGAGTATTCGTGCAGAATACCAAGAGCAGCTGGAAAAAGGAATAGAAAGAAAAATTGTTTAAAATTTATGGAATATTGTGTTCAAGTGATGGAGGCATGAAAGCAGTACTTCCCCAACAGCAAATAACCTGACCTGTTTGAAACCCTATTAGTAAAGTAATATTTAACAACCATTCTTAATATGTATAAAATTTCTTGCATTTTTTTACTTAAAACTGTTTAAGAAGAATATCAGAACTGGATCACACTGAATGCACAACGAAATAGAAAAAAATCCTATTTCTAGCATGACGCTTTCTTTGCTTTGCACCTTAAGAAAACCTCTTCCTTTATGACATCTGCCACGTGGTCTTCAATTTTTTGTTTCCAAAGAAAAAAGTAGGTAAGAAGTTTGCAAACAACCATCTGCTGAAAACCCAATCTTTTTATACCTCATGCTCAGAGACAGAAAACCAAAAAACACTTTCACCCAAGTACTGCACCGACAAAATTATGTAATGTTTGTTAACAACAAAGAAATACGGCTATTTTTAATACAGGAACTTAAAATGACAAGGAAAAAAGTTATCTAGACGGAGTCTGGTGAACTTTAGCTGACAACGGGTGGAAAACCTAACACAGGGACACTAATCCTGCAGTCCCTTTCTTTCAGATGACAAGATCCCATTCGATCTTTGGAAGTAAACATAAATACTAGTGCTCAATTTACTGAAATTTGGATTTTGTGCACAAATTCCAGAACAAAAGGAGAACAATAAAACACTGAAGTCTTTGATGTAGAACTGAAAGATTTTTTTCCCAGCAGGAAGTGTAAACTTGTAACTCTTGTTCCCCCACTGCCCACCATATTGACAATCTCTACCTGGAAACTTGTCATTAATTTCCAAAACAAAAGATTTCCTTCCTTCCAATTGCGTGTGTGTGTGTGTCAGGTGGAGGAAGGGGAAGAGGAAACAGACTGCAGCAGTTATTTCCCAAAGTACTCTGAGATCAGAGATACCTCTGAAGTGAGATACGCATTTGTTCTGGCCTGAAGAAAATTTTGTACTTTTCAACCTAATTTCTGAATCACAGTATATTTTTCTCTCAAGATAGTTAACAATCTCAAGAATCACAGAGTCAGCTAGGGTGGAACAGAACTTTAAGATCAAGTCCAACTGCTCACCAGCACTGCCAAATCCACTACTAAACCATGTCACCAAGGGCCTCATCTACAGGGGTTTTGAGCACATCTAGGAACAATGATTCCACCACTGCCTTGGGCAGCCTGTTCCAGTGCCTGACTATGCTCTCATTGAAGAAACTTTTCCCAATATTCAACCTAAACCTTCCCTGTCACAGCTTGTGGCCGTTACCTCTTGTTCTGTCACTTGTTAACTTGTTACTTGGGAGAAGTGACCAGCCAAGAAAGAAAAAAGTAGAAAGAAAAATAAGTAGACTGAGATGACTTAGAGGTACATACATCCATCTATGTAACTATAGCCTTCAGGTGAAAAATTTTTGAGAAAAAACACACTATTGAACTCCATGTATAGAAAATGCTGCCTTGCCTAATCTTTACATAATTCTGCCTTTCCAGGATTTCAGATAATCCAGGATATCATTACTGCAAGGTAGATGTTCAAGAGTTGCACCACAAATTCATTTTTTAGTTAATGAAATTTTAGCTGCTACCAGTTTAGCATCTGCTTCAAATCCACGTTCTCTTCATTGTGCAGGTAAAACTGTAATTCTTTGCCTGTCTTTTCCGATTTTATTCTCCCTGTCATAGCATAGATTGATTTACTCCTGCAGATCAAGTTGCAGTGGTTGAAGAAATCACTGAAGCCAGTAATTATCCTCACCTGTTAGTTACTGCCTTTCAGCACTACTATTTTCAGGGCAATTTAAATTAAATCATTTGACTTTGCAGTGAAACACATTAGGAACAATTAATGTTGCTATTCCATTTAAACTCTGCAACCTGTTTTTGATTGGGAATAAGTAACAGATAAAGAACAATCCAAATAGATCTGCAAAGGTATATCTTTCCACATCAGCATGATTTAACTGTAAAGCATTTTCTGGTTTTATGATTATACAAAAGGAACAACATGAAATAAAAATCCAATCCTGCAAGTCTTCACTTATGAAAAAAGGTATTGCTCACTGGAGTAGTTCAATTAACCTGAATGAGACTGCTGACATGGGTGAGAAAGGAATATGCAGTTTATGTGGCAAAGTTACTGCATTACGTGCAGTATTTCAGTAATTCATTGACTTATTTGCAGTACTTTAGTAATTCAATATAAGGCACAATACAACACTATACAGACACTCAGAAGTGAAGAAAGAGTGTACTATAAACACATTTTATAAATACATTATACTAACCTCTTAACACGTAAATAAGGAAGTCACAAGCAGATAATGATTATCATTAAAAAACATGGTGAAATTGTACAAATATATTGACTATGCCTACAAGGATGCTGAGGAGGGACTCTTCATTAGGGTCCACAGTGACAGGGCCAATGGTAATGGGTTTAATCTTAAACTGTGGAAGTTCAGGTTAGATGTAAGGAAGAGGCTCTTTACTGTGACGGTGGTGAGGTACTGGAACAAGTTGCCCAAGGAAGCTGTGAACACTCCATCCTTGTCAGTGCTCAAGGCCAGGTTGAATGGAGCCTTGGGTGACATGGGTTAGTGTGTGGTGTCCCTGTCCACCGCAGGGCACTTGGAACTGGATGATCTTACGGTCCTTTCCAACCCTAACTATTCTATGATCCTTTATTAAATGCTGTATTTCTGTAAATACATCTTCAGCAATTGTCACTCCACCAAAGCGCCCCTGTACACAGAACCTGCAGAAAGCAAAGTACCTCTTTGTATCCACTATTATTAGAACAAATGTTTACGCTGTTTCCATGCAAAACACCAATAATAATGAAGAGTTCATATTTCTACATTCCCCTCAAAATAAGAGTTTCAGAATGCTAGCATGTTCCACGTATACTGGAACACACTGTTATGTCACTTTTTCATCTCTAGTGTAAGGCTTTTGATTACTAATCAGGTTATTAGTGCTATACTGCTTCTCTCTAGTTCTCTCAGTCACACAAATATTTATTTTACCTATCAAGTTTTACAAAGCGATTTGAGAATTAGTATAGAAATCAAACAGTCAAAAGAGTTCATGACAAACTCTTCCGAATCAGTTCTGAAAGTTGTGATAGTACCTGTAGATTATTTATATTACAAATAACTTCAAAGAATTCCTATACCCCATTTTAACTGCAGTGGAGTTTCTAAAGATTATAAAATAACAGCAGCAGGACTCTTAGGAGGTTTCTCAGGGAAAGTGCAGGGTGAAACTTCTTAGCATTACATTACTATGCATATTTTTATTTCTTTCTTACATGAAAAATGTTTGAACCAATCTATTAAAACTTTTTGAGTAATACTAAATACATTAAAACGTAGAAATAATAGAACACCATGTCAGATAAATACTAACATGATGACTTTCTATAAAGTCTTTTACTGCCATAGATTTGCCTGAACTACAAAAGTGTATAGACATAAAATAGGTAGTGTTACAAGTTTTAACAGAAAACTGGTCTCAAAGTAGAAAAAGAAACTACAATGACTTACAACGCTTAAACTTCTGTAGAATCCACTACTTTAAAATGATCTTTACTTGACTTTCTCAACCATCCTCGGAACAGTTTTGAACCTCTAAAACCTAATCTAGACATTTAAGGAGGGGAAAAAGAAAACAAAAAACACAAAACACCCAACAGAATTCAAGTTTTCTGCTTACATACACAGTGGAATACATTACCCCATGGGGAAAGTGTTGTTTTGAAAGCAAACTATTCATATAGTCATCACTGTATGTTGCCTGTCACTTGTGGCCATAGCACAGGAATACTATGGCAACAGCAATATAAAGAGCATGAGGTCCTTTCTCTCAACAAAACATTATCACTAAAGATACCTACAAAAATCAAAGTATTTCTAATGACATACACTATTTTTGTGTGTCATATGTCTTATGTCATAGATACACATAACAAAACAGGAAAGCAATATAAACACAAGCTCCAAATCAAAAGGCAAGGCAAACAGAAAATGGAAATGGCAGTCAGACAAAAGTGTACATTAACAGAAATTGTCAGGAGAGCATGTGAATGGTAACAGATGGTGGTACAAGTTAGAGATTAACTCAGACAAAATAAAAATACAAGAAGGAAAAAAGAATGGAACTGGGTAGAAAGGCAGTCACAGCAAAGTGTGGAAACAGGCTTTCTTGATGACTGGGGTGGAGTTAAAAAAGTATAACAGGCTGAAGAGAGTAGTCTAACTCTAAGGGCCTCTAATCAGCTCCAGCACTAACACTTTGAAGGCAATAAAAAAATAAGAAGAATAAACAAAATCGTTTAACAGAACGTAACATGAATCTTGCCAAGCCATTTTCCCAGCTTTCAAAAGAACGCTTTGACACCTGTACTGCTGACTTCAGTAACTAGTCAGACAAATGGTCCAGATGGACGGGATGGAGAGTAGGAGCGGAAAAAACTTGACATTTGCTCCCTTTTGTCTTTCTATGAACTTAAATGTACCTGCTCTTCTGTCCAATATACTAAATATTAATGGCACAGTTTAAATATTAGCATTGTTTGTTATTATCTTCATTTAGCAACTGTCAAATCATACCTTGAACAGTAGACAGAGTATTAACATTTTAACTACTTAATGGAGTATGATGCGAAGAATCTAAATCTGTTCTTTACACACAAGGCTCTATTTGGTCCCACCTGAGTCAGAATTCCTGTAGCTTATTACAAGACTCAACTGCTATTTCTTACTTAAAAGGATCACAGAAAAGCAGTACGTGTGGTAAAGAGTTCAGGTACTCACTCCAGAAGAAAAAGCACTATTTCTTGATACCAGGGTTCATCAACAGTAAGAATGAGTTAACACATACCTTGTTTCATTTAAGGAAGTGGCTCATTTTGATGGTGGTTAAGTTTTGATCAAAAAGGCA